CTTCCTGAGCCAAGCCTGTCTGAGCATCCTGTGGATGAGCCCCCCTGTTCAGCGGGAGAGGGGACAGCGTGCTGCAGGCCCGGCCTGTGCTGCCGGCTCCTGCTCCCCCCACACCCTCCTTGCACCAGTGTTTCTGAGCCAGGCCAGAGCCGGAGACGCCCTAAGAGGCTGCGAGAGTTTGGGAGCAGCTGTGGAGCAGCTGCCGGGGCCAGCGCGGGGGCTGGGGCTGCGGCAGGCACCCCACAGGCAGCTCAGCTGGCCTTGGGGGTGGATGTGGTGGGACCCTGCTTGGGGGAATGGTGAGAGCCCTGAGCCTGCCGCTGCCAGGCTTTGTTCTCGGAGCAGCGCTGCTGCAGCCCCTCCCCAGGCTCCACCTCCGCAGCCCACCCGAGACCCTCCTTCCGCTGCCTGTGCACAAGCTCCTCACATGCTGTGCAGAGCTGGTGGGCAACAGCTGCTCTCAGCAAAGTGCGGAAGTACCTTGGGTGGTAGAGACGTCATCAGTAGGGATCAGAGGCAACAGGTTGCCAGACAGAAGGGGCTGAGCCCCCTGTGGGTGCAGGCTATGTAGCACCACGAGGGAGATGCTTGGTTCTCCCTCTGGCTGTAGCAGGATGGCTCTGTCCTGGCCCTGCTCCAAGGCCTGGTACCCTGGGGCTGAGCTGGCACAACCCGTTCCCCAGCCCTGCTACCCCAGCAGGCTCAGTCCTGCACGGCTGCCTCCCCCTGCCCTCCGCTCGTGGGTTGTTTTCCCAGCTGAGCCATGGCTGGCTCGGTGGCTGCTCACGTGGGGCCATGGTCACCTCACCTTCCCCTGTGCTTCCCCTGACCTTGGCTGTGCAGCTGGGACTCACGCTCAGGCACTTACCACATCCCTGCTCGTTCAGGCCTGGCCAGGCAGGCGCTGGCTGTTTCTGCTCCTTTCTGCAGCTGTGTCCTGCTGCTCCTTGGTGTGACCGTCTCATCAGCCGCATGCCCCAACCTGAGCACTCAGCCCAACCCCAGCCTGCCTCCATCACTCCCAGCTTCCCCTCCCCATCTTTGACGGGGTTTTGCACTCCTGCAGCTGGCACTGGGGAGACGTGGCACGAGGGAAACATGGCACCGCAGCCACAGACCTGCTCGGCATTTGGCTTCCTGCAGCCAGCTCCTACCCCTGACAGAACCTTCCAGTAGATTAGCAAGACAATTTTTCCTTGCAATTGCTCATCATGGCAAGAGCCGCAATTATTAATGACCGCTGCAGCTGCCAGAGCAGAGCAGGAGGAGCGGCTCTTCCCCACACCCGCTGCCCCCAG